TTTGGTACCAGGGACCGAACTCAGGACCTTGCACTTGCAAAGCAGGCAGCGGAACCACTGAGCTAAATCCCTGGCCCTGTAACTGTATTTTATACCTAAAATGTACCAATAAAGTTAATGGGGGAAAAAAAAAAAGAGGAGTTTTAACAAAAGTCCAGGTTCTTGGCACCTGGCTAGCAGCCAGAGACAAAGGAAGTGAGGCCAGAGAGCTGGGAACCTGGGAGTGGTTACATAGTTGCACAATGACAGTGATTTTCTAAACTGAACTGTCGTGTTGCCAGTTCCACATAAAGCAAAAAGGTAAGGTCAAGATTAGCGATATGAAGTTGGTAGTCACCAACCAAAAGACTGACGTTCGTGGCAGATAGACTAAAAATAAAAAGCAAAGAGGGAAGGGAAGGCCTGTGGTGTCTAGAATTCTTATGTAGATATTCCAGAAATATCAGGCAAGAAAAAGCAGAACCATCAAAGGAGACAGATAGCAACTAAAGTAAGAAGGAAAAACAAGTATTTCAAGTTCATGAAAACAAAGAAGCTAAGTTTAGTATCCAACTAAAACAGGATGAAGCCTGAAGAAAAGCCATGTGTTTGGCCAGAAGGGCACCACTGGTCTATTGTTGGAGTTTTTGCCCAATTCTGGGGTCATAGGTTGCCATGGTGTGAATGTGTCCCCTCCAAAGTCCAGGTGTCACCATTGTGATAGTGCTAAGAGGTGAGGACCTTTCCAGGCAACATTGTCCTAGCCTTTTGGGACTCACATCTCACCACAACTTACCCTGGGGCTGGGACGTGGAGCACCGGGTTTAATGTTTGTCCTTCTGGGTTTCGATCTTGCTTTGGTCCCTTTCCTTTTTATCCCCCTATTCCTCCCTTTTGGAATGAGAATGTTTACTCTATGCCAGTGATGGCAGACCTTTTAGAGACTGAGTGCCCAAACTGCAACCCCAAACCCACTTATTTATCACAAAGTGAGCACTGCAATACGGAAGTTTTAGTTTAGAAAGAAACAACTGCTACCCATGCTCAGCTGCTGTAGTGACTTGGTTCTCATGCTGACATAGACCGGCTCTGCATCCCCACTGCAGCACATGTGCCACAGGTTTGCCACCACTGTGCTATGCCAATGCATGTTGGAAGTATTTAACTCCCTTTGATTTTTACAGGGGCTCACACCTAAGAGTTTGCCTTGAGTCTCAAAGGAAACTTTGGACTTGGACTTTTCAGCAAACCTGAAACAGTTAAGACTTTGACAACTCTTACATTTTTCATGATGAGATGGTCATGAGCCTTCTGGGGACCAGGGGAAGAATGTTATGGTTTAGATCTAAAATGTCCCCCAAAAGCTTTATTTTATTCAGAGGTGGAGATTTTGGAAGGCAATTGGACACTATACTCATCAGTGGATGAATCCATTGATGAATTAATGGCTGAATGTGCTGTTAGAAGATGGGGCTAGGCATGGTGGTGCTTGCCTGTAATCCCAGCACTTGGGCCGCTGAGGCAGGGGGATTGCTGTGAGTTCAAAGCCAGCCTGAGCTACACAGTGAGACCCTGTCTCAAAAAAATAAAAAAGAAAAGAAAGAAAGAAAAGAAGACAGGGCCTGGTTGGAGATGGGCCATGAGGGGAATGACATAGAAAGGTGTATTCTTGTCCCAGGCGCCTCCCTTCTCTCTCTGTTTCTTGGTGGTCATGACATGAGCAGCTTTCCCCTGCCATGACCTTCCACCATGCCATTTCTGCCTTGGAGCCAGCTGACCATGGACTGAATCTCCAATCTGTGAGATCAATTAAACCCTTCTTCTGAGTTGTACGTATTGGATATTGTGTGCTAGCAAAAGAAAAGCTGACTAATATATAAGTTTTCTATCTCAGATAGACCAAGACAGAGGTCAAATTATGAACTATTGCAGGGAGAATGGTACTGAAAAGAATATGACAGTGAAAGCAGAAGAAAAAGCACCTAGAGAGAAGCAACAGGGCAGTGGAAGGGTTCTGTGGGCCGAGGGAAACTTGTCCAAGGCTGAAGTCAGAGTGAAGAGCTGGTAGAGTGGGCAGTGTGATGATGCCATTCCCCTCTCCTCTCTGCCCTGTGCACCAAGCCCCAGCACTGCCTCAATGCCTCATCCTGCCTCCCATCTTGCCAGCTGCGCCTTGGCCATCACGTGACCCACAACATTCTGGTTCTTGCCTTCTGCCTTCAGCGCTGTCCTTCTCCGCCACCACGTAGCACAGCCCACCCAGAGTCTCTTTTTGCCAATCCATGTCATTACACCCTTCACTATTGCACTTCTTTTTTTTTTTTTTTTTTTTTTTTTTTGGTACCAGGGATCGAACTCAGGTCCTTGCGCTTGCGCAGCAGGCGGCGAAACCACTGAGCTAAATCCTCGGCCACTACTGCACTTCTTTGGGAAGCTTCCTCCCATATCTCCTTCTCACTGATCCCTCTCTCTCTCTCTCTCTCACCCCACCCCCTTCTATCTCTCTCCCTTCTCCCCCATCTAGTATCTAGTGTGGGCCATATGGGGGAATTTTTCCATAAGCAGTGCCTTTGCTCATTTCTCAGGTAATAAGGCTTAAGATGCCAGCTCATTTTTTTCAGTATCATTTTCTCTTATAAGTAACTATGTAAAGGTCAACTGGTATTTCTCTATATACCCAATATTTGTCAACCTACTAGTGGAAGAATGCTTAAGTAATACTATACTATTTTGGCTTTGAGAGAAAATCCTCAATTCTGTCTTCTTTAAACAAGATACTTTATTCTACTCTAATCTTCAGAGCCCAACACAATGCTCTGGAACTTAGGTAATTCTTAAAGGAAGAAAGGCAGGAGGTGAGAAGGGAGGAAAGAGGAAGAATGAGTGAGAAATTCTGAGAAATAGGTACCTTTCAGTGAGCCACAAAAGCAGATTGGCACATTGAGATGAGTAGTTGTGTTGGTATTATTTGCAATACCAAAAGATTAGAAAGCATCTACATGTTCATCAGTAGAGACTGTTTAAATAAGTCATAGTCCACCTATGCTGTGGAGTACTAAGCAGCTTAAGAAATAATGTGAAAGCTCTCTGTGAACTACAATGGAAAGATCTACAAGATATAGAACAGTTCTTACAGAAGCCATACTTGTGTGAAGGCAGAGGCAGAATTAAAATATTTACTTGACTTCCTATATGCATAAAGAAATTCTGGGCCAGCAGTTTAGCTCAGTGGTGCCAGAGCCTGCCTGGAAAATGCAAGGTCCTGAGTTCAATTCCCGGTTCCAAAAAAAATTCTGGAAAAAACAAATAAGTGTTCTAGAGGTAGGAAAGGGGAACAAGATAGAAGATGGGAGAAGGACTTTTTGCTGAATATTCTTTTCAGGGGAGGAAAGAGTAGAACCACTTGAATATGCTGTATTTTCCAAAAAACTTTTATTAGAGTTGTATATGTTAATGGGTTTCTCCTCCGGGAGAGAAAAGTACATATACATCCCTGTTCTGAGCATAAAAGGGTCCAGAAGAAAGATGCTCTACGTGCTTGCTTACCGATTGATCTTCCTCTTCTGCTGGGATTTAATCACTGTGTTTTCCTCATCTCTCTTCTTCAGCACCTGCAAGTTGTACTCTAACTTCTCTTGGTTTAGTTGGTACGTTGCTTTCATCTGCTGAAGCTGCTGCTCAAGAATCTAAAGTTTAAAAAACAAAACAAATACACAACTAATTGGCTCTGGTGTAATTGTTGCCTGAAGACCTTGACAGTGTGTTCCAGTCCTGCCAGAAGATTCTTAGGGACGAGTGCTTCAGCCTGGATTCTCAGACATTTTACCAGTAGAGGCAGATTAAAGGCCAATTAGACTTAAAAAAAAAAAAAAAAAAAAAAGCCAATCCTCCACAAGCTGAAACCTGCATAGCCAAAGCCTGAGAAAGAGCACTGTTAAAGCCTGCAAGTCCAACTAACTCTGGCACTTCATACCAGCCCTTATAGAGATAACATCATGAAAAATAGTATTGCTTCAAAAACTTGAAATTTCTCCACTTTGATCTTCCAGAATGGCAGTATTAGTGTTAAGCAAACCATGTGTAGGTCAGGGACAGATAAGCAAGCACCAAGAACAAGAAGTAACACACAGGTAGGCACAGGGTGTCATGGAACCAATGAGAAGGGCACTTTACTTGGCCTTGAGGAACAGGGAAGTATCCTGGGGAGGCATGTCTGCCTGAGACATGGAGAATGGGCAGGAGTTCCTCAGGTGACACTGAGAGGAGAGCGCTCTGGAGAGAGGAAATGGCATATCTAGAGACACAGAGGAAAAGGGGAGACAGAGTGTCTTGGGGACACCATGTGCAGCTTAAAATGTGAGACACGATGCAAGGAATGGTCAGAACTGAGGCTGACTGAGCCAGGCCCTTAAAACTGTGAATATAAAACATTATCCAGAAGTCCATGATGCCACTAAAGATGGCAAGCGGGAGAGGGAAATGATCAGCCCAGGCCCTGCAGAAAGATCACTCTTGACAATTTGTGAAAAAAAAGATGAGAAGCAAGGCTGGGGGCCTTTCCTGAGTGGAACGTAGGAATGGCGAAGGCAATTAAGTGCAATCACATCTCAACAAAACAGCAAGCCTCACTTCCAGTCTCCTTCCCCCAGCCTACAGATTCCTGCCAAGGAAGAAACAGTGGAAGTGATTCCAAGCAGTGATCACAAACCCCCTCAACAAGGGTAGCTTCTAGGAGGTGACGCAGAGCAGAATAAAGGCAATGACACACAACCTGGGTGTGGTGGTGCACACCTTAATCCCAGTGCTTGCAGGCTGAGACAGGATGGTGGCAAGTTCAAGCCCAGCCTGGGCAACTCAGTGACTTAACAAGATCCTGTCTCAGAATTTAAAATATCCTTATATGCTTTCCGTTGTAAAAACTTTTCCTGATTGAAATAGCAAATTTTATTTTGAAAATTTGGAAATTACAGCAAATGGAAAAGCAGAGGTCACAGGGGAGAAAGGAGAGGAAAAACTGCCTGTAATTTCAATACCCAAAGGCAATTTCCGTTAATATAACTGCATGTTTCCTTCCAGTGTTCTTTGCATCAAACTAGGCCTATAATTTTATATCCTATACTTCTCCCTTACTATTATCACATAGGAATTTTCTGAGCTGTGCATATTGCATGTCTGTAATCCCAACACTCTTGGAGGCAGAGGCAGGAAGATTAAAAGTTCAAGCCCAGTCTGTTAGCAACTTAGTGAGACCCCATCTCAAAATAAAAAATAAAAAGGGATGGAGTGCAATACAAAGGTCCTTGGTTCAATCCCCAGTACGGCCCACACACACACCTGTATTAATGAAGTTTTATTAACATTAATTTAATGGTGCATAATACTCTTATCACATATGAAATATTTGTGCTCACCATGTATCAAAATATTTTACATTTACCTATAGTTATATATTTATGTTGTGTTAATACTTTTCACAGCTATAAAATAAGGCTGGCATCAATTGTATATAAAACTCATTGGGTATTTTTATTTCCTTAAGTCATTTCTTAGAAGTGAAATGACAAGAACAATTGAAGGTTTATGCTCTCACTGGGCAACAGTGCAATCCCAGCTCACCACACATACTGGCACCAAGCACTGGTCAGGGCCAACCTTGAGCAGGTGCTTGAGTGGGTCAGGGTGCTGCCAGAAACTGCACCCAGCCCTTGCCAAGCATGTCTAACATTCAGGCTTGACATTTCTGACATTTACAAGAGATCACAGAGCCTGTGGAAGCTGCTGATAGCACAGCCTCAGTTCAGGTGAAAAGATCTGGGCTCTGTCTCTTACCTGAAATGAGAATTGGAGCCCACAGGAAGAGTGAAAAGAGGGACCTCAGTGCAGAAGAGGAAGGTGGCAAATGGCACTTTCTCTCTGAATCTCGGCTCATGATGTGAGAGAAGTGGCTCAATCCTGCAGAAGCACAGTAACTACTGGTGATTCTAGAGGCCTCCATGGAGAAACACACCAGTGGAAAAGAGAGCAGTGGATGCTGTGGGGTGCAGTAACTAATGAGTGATTCCAATCCAATGAAGGATATGGTTAGTGAATCTGGAGTAAATACCAATTTTTAAAATGTAGAGAAGCTTAGGAAAATGATGGAAACCATGAATGCCCAACAAAGGAAAGAAATGGAATTCATGAAACAGACTCAGAAATCCAGGAGAATAAAAAACTTATTGAAAGTATATGCAGCAGAATGAACCAATCGGAGGACAGAATATCAGATCTAGAAAACAAGTTTGCAGTTAGTGAAAATGAAAAGAAAGATTTCTTTAAAATAGCAAGGAAAAGAAAGGAGGGACAAGAAAAAAGAATAGAAGGAAAAATGGAAACAAAGCTTTTATAAATGAGGAGAAGAGGAAGTTGAGGGGGTAATTTAAAAAAGAAGTAAGATGTATCATGCACAGGTACAAATTCTCTATGATGAATATCATTGTGTATCTAAAATGTTTTGCAAAAAAAAATAGCAAAGGATGATGAAAAAGCAACACAACAGCTACTAGATGGTGTAAAGAAGAATAACATAAGATTAATGGGAGTAAATGAAAAACTGGGAAATACTACAAAAGACATAAAAAACCTGTTCACAGAAGTAATGGCAGAAAACTTCCCAAATATGGAAAAAGAATATGACATATAGATAAAAGAGACATATAGAACTCCAATTAGCCATGATCAAAAAATCTACACCAACACATATAATAGTCAAAATTCCAAAAATTCAACACAAGAACAGAATATTTAAAGCTGTTAGAGAAAAGAAACAAATCATCTATAAAGAAAAGCCCATAAGAATCACAGCAGACTTCTCAACACAAACCCTCAAGTCAAGGAGAGCTTAGAGAGAAGTATTTCAAACTCTAAAAAGAAAAAACAGCCTCCAACTCAGATTGATGTACCCTGCAAAACTATCTTTCAAAATTGATGGAGAAATAGGATAATTCCATGACAAAAATATCTGAAGAAATTTATGACCACCAAACCAGCACTCCAAATGTTCTGAAGGACATTCTAGAAAGAGATAATGAAGACTACAGCTTCGTGAACCCCAACAGAATAAATCCACCAGGCTAGGCAAACAACTAAACAGAGGAGAAAGAAAGAGAACCAACAGGAAAATTATTTGACAAGGATAAGTCAATATATGTCAGTTATAACCATCATTGTAAATGGCCTCGATTCATCAATCAAAACAAATGGGTTGGCAGAGTGCATCAAGAAACAAAATCTAATAATATGCTGTGCACAAGAAACACATTTAACTCAAAAAGAAATTCACAGACTGAAAGTCAAGACTAGAAAACAGGACCAGGGATTTAGCTCAGTGGTTTTGCCACCTGCTGCACAAGCACAAGGACCCAAATTCGATCCCTGGTACCAAAAAAAAAAGAGAAAAACTGACTTTGGGGCCAGGGATTTAGCTCAATGGTTCCATTGCCTGCCTTGCAAACACAAGGACCTGAGTTCAATCTCTGGTGCCAAAAAAAAAAAAAAAAAAAAAAAAACAACCAGAGAAACATCCAACCAAAAAAGAGAACTATAAGCCAATTACCTTAATGAACATAGACACAAAAATCCTCAGTAAGATACTGGTAAATAAAATGCAGCCAATCATCAAGAAGATTATACACCATGACCATGTAGGACTCATTCCAGGGATGCAGGGATGGTGCAACATATGTAAATCAATAAATGTAATACACCACATTAACAGAATGAAGGACAAAAAGCACACTATCAGGGGCCGGGGATTTAGCTCAGTGCTTCCGTTGCCTGCCTTTCAAACACAAGGACCCGAGTTGATCTCCAGTACCAAAAAAAGTACACTATCATTTCAATAGATGCAGAAAAAGCATATGACAAAGCCCAACACCTATTCATGATTAAAAACCCTACAGAAAATTAGAATACATGGTCTTTATTTCAATATGATAAAAGTCATCTATGACAAACCAACAGCCCACATATTAAATGGTCAAAAATTGAAATTTTTCACTCCAAAATTAGGAACAAGACCACTATCACCACTTCTGTTCAATATAGTTCTGGAAACATTAGTGAGAGAAATTAGACAAGAGAAAGAAATAGAAAGAATAAGGATAGGAAAGGAAAAAGTTAAATTATCATTATTTGCAGATGACACAGTATTCTGCAAAGAAGATGCCAAAAATTCCACCAAAAGACTTATAGAATTAATAACCAAATTTGGTAGCATAGCAGGATACAAAGTCATCACTCAAAAATCAGTAGCATTCCTATACACAAATAACAAACTCCCTGAGAGAGGTTAGGGAAACAACACCTTTCATAATAGCATCAAGAGAAATGAAATACTTAGGAATCAATCTAACCAAGGAAGTAAAAGACCTGTACACTGAAAACTGCAGAACTCTGAAAAAGTCAATCGAAGAGGATACAAGAAAATGGAAAGATATCTCCTGTTCTTGGATAAGAGAACCAATATAGTGAAAATGAACATACTTCAAAAATTGTTATACAGATCTAATGCAATCTCAATCAAAATACCAATAAGCATACCTCACAGAATTAGAGAAAACAATCCTAAAATTCACTTGGAACCAACAGAGACGTACAATAGCAAAAGCAGTCTGGGCAACAAAAGCAGGGCAGGGGGCATCATAAT